AAGAGAGAATCCAAGAGAGTCAAATCAGAGAGAGAGTATAATTTTAGATGAAGACGTCTCTCGTCCATCAGAAACTGAATATTGTGTAAAATCCCAGTCAGAAAAGGACACTTGTTATGCTGTTTGCGGTGAGCCTGCAGTATGTTACATTAAGTGCGATAGGTTGTAACGTTTTGCGTTTCGCAACCATGGATTCCCGCCCTATATTCGAAGTTAACAGGTTGGCAGTTCCGACTACCTCAGGCGGAATACCCTGGCGGAGGTGGTCGAAACTGCAACGGTTGCTGTCTGGACACTGGACTTGTGCTTTCGCGTCGCGCTCCACATCCCCCTCGCGATAAATGTGAGTATTTCGGTAAAAAGCCACCCCTTTTGGGGGTGGTTGTTCTGTGACGGTCTGCTGCAGTCATTCGTATCCTCGCGGGGATGCGCTTGGCTGTTGCGTAACATTCCCCTCCCCTGGACCTTGGTTCACGACCAGTGACCGCGGCTACCCGCCATCTTGAGCTTTAGTCTTCGCTTGTCTCCCCGCGTCACTGGCCGTCGATCAAGGTTCCCTCCGTTTCCCTTCGGTTCTCTTACTTCTCGCTAGTCTTTTGCCTTATGTCGAGTTTTCTTTATTTTCGTGTATTTCGGACTGTGCCTTTTCACTGTTGTGTTGATCAATAAATCGTTGTTTGTATCCCGTACTCGCTCGTTTCGTCTCTTTTTGTTGCGTGTCCTCACCGACTGACCCTCTGAGGTGAGGCTTGCCCAGCGCACCTTATATCAGCCCAGTCAACCGTCTTCCCGTTTCATTTTGGTAGCAGAGCGTGATTACTGTTCAGAGAAATCGTTAATTGTGTTTCTTTTCATCTTTTTCTCACACGATTGTGAATTTTCTCTGCTTTAAACTTTACCCGGTTCTCACGGCTTGCCGGTGAGGTTGCGTAACGACAAGTGCGTTCCGGGCGAGGAGAAGAGTTCTCGGACTTCGTCCGAGGCAGTCTTTCTTTCTTCGCGTGTTTTTAGCTTCAAGTGAAAAGTGCCAGTTTTTCGTTAAAATTTGAGTGAAATTCGTGAATTCGTGAAATTTCTGTGATAACGAGTTCAGTCAATCCAAGATGGCGGAACCTTGGTCGACGGGGAAACCACCGGTGATTCGGAGACGCAAGCGGGGCTCGACTCCAACTTCGCGTGGAGCCTTCTGATTGGTCGGCGCTGCTGATGCTGTTGTTGGCACCGTTGACTTCTCGGTGAAGTACCGAATGTTTTCATTTTTTGATAATGAGTGCTTCTGATAACCTGTTGTTGATTCTAATTGAAATTTAAATCGAATTGAATGTTGTTGATTCTAACTGAAATTTAAATGAATTTTAAAATCTTGAAATCTTGAAATCTCTTAGGTAACATTCGATTATTAGAATTGACTTCTCTTGTATTTAAATTGAACTTGCTGACCATTGTCAATTGCAAACAAGTAATTTTTGAATTCAATTTTTCGAATAATTCTTGTTCTTTCTCGTTCTTAAATTGAATTAATTATTGGATCATTAATTATTAATTATTGAATTGATAATTATGATTGAATTAATTAGTTATTGGTTATTGAAGTATTAATTATTGTCCTCTGTTAACAGCTATTAATTTTGCTTCATCTGATGTTCGAGATTTATTCCTGATGTTCGATATTCATCTGATGTTCGAGATTTATTCCTGATGTTCGATATTTTGATAACGACTCTCATCTCAATCCTGGTGTTTACCTAATTCCTGATAGCGACATGTTGATCTGTGACATCGATCCCCAGGTATCCTGAGTTGTCAGGTTCCTGACTATTGTCTTGGTATCAGTCTCGTGAGTTTGGTATTTACCTTATTATCTTTCTTTTATAGTTGTAAGTGACATGAAGGTCTTGTGGTGTGAACTGATGCGCTTCGTGCCTAGCATAGTTGAAAGCTTGGACTAACCAATCCAAGCCCTCATCCCATCGGTTCTGGGAATTTGAATGGTACGCGATTAATGCGCTCTTTAGATTTCGATTAACTCTTTCTGCCAGATTCGGCTTAGGATAATAAGGTGATGTTGAAATCGCTTGGATTCCACGGTTAAACAACCAACGTTTTACTTTATTAGAACGAAAGCATTTGGCGTTATCGCTCACTACAGAACGAGGAAGACTAAAATATTTGAAAATTTGATCCATTTCTTTGATAACAACGTCGCTAGTAGATGATTTTGTTGCAGATATCCAAGAAAACTTAGTAAATGCATCAGTCATTACGATTACATAACAGTTTCCACGAGTAGAGCGAACAAGTGGGCCTACAAAATCAACGTAAACTTTTTCCATAGGAGAAGAGGCAACGTCACTAGACAAATGACCAACTTGTTGTTTCAGGTTTGGTTTGCTAATTGCACACAAGTGGCATGCTTTAACTAATTCACGTACTTCTGCAACTAAATTTTTAAAGGTAAACAACTGTTGAATCTTATCGATTGTTTTTCTACACCCCAAATGACCACCTAACATTGACTCAAGATAAAATTTAAAGATCATAGGTTTCAATGCGCTCGGTACGACAATTCGAGGTTTACGGCAGTGTGGTGGGGTGAAGCACACACTGAGAAAAAACTATGGCTTATAAACCTATTAGAGGTAAATATGGAACACCACTAATAGTAGTACCTCTACATATAATAATAGCACATATACCTTAGTTATGGTCTCTGTACCTTAATTAGGTACAGAGACCTTAGTATGGTTCACAGACCGAGAATCATTAGTTTATTTACGACTATTATAGGTGTTCCATATTTACCACTAATAGGTTTATAAACCATAGCTTTTTCTCAGTGCAGGACACCTTTGGAGAGAGAATACCCTTTGACAACTTGCTTTTCCGTCAGCTTGCCGATGATGGGGTCCAGCTCAGGATCACCTTTTTGGTGTTCTGCGATGTCGACGAACGCGAGAGGAAAGTTAGCTAGTTCTGGGGAGAACATGCAACTCTCTTTTAGGTTCACTTTTGGCTCTGGAATTTCTTCCTTTTCAACTTCTAACCCGGCCTGGGGTTGGTCGTCGAACATGCGAGACAGAGCATCCGCGATTACATTTTCCGTACCTCTAATATGTACAGCTTGATACTGGAAACTAGAGATACGCAAAACCCATCGCGCTAAGCGACCCTGTTGTCTCGGATGCTCGAGTAACCAACTCAGGGCCTGGTTATCCGTCTCTAAGAGAAACTCACGGTGGTCTAAATAAGGGCGGAAGTGTTCCATTGAGAGAATTGCAGCCAAACATTCCTGCTCATAGGTACCAAACTTGGCCTCGGCATCGGTCAAGCGTTTGGAGAAGTAGGCTATGGGCATTCTCACGCCATCACACTCCTGTAAAAGGGCACCACTTACAGCTCGCCCACTGGCGTCAGTTTGCAAAATGAATGGAACATCGAAACGAGGTACTGCAAGGATCGGGGGGTTGGTAATAGCATTCTTTAACTCTTCGAAAGCTTGGTGTTGTTCGGGTCCCCAAACAAACTGAACATTCTTTCGTCGTAAAGCATTTAAGGGTGCTGCTTTATCTGCAAAATTTGGTATAAATTTTGAAAAGAAACCTATCATTCCGATGAAACGGGCTATGCCCTTAACAGTTGTCGGAGGAAGATAATCTCGGATGGGTTGGGTGCGGGATGGATCTATCTGGACTGATCGATAGGATATCAAATGACCCAGAAAGACAAACTGCTTAACTGCAAGTTAAAAATGAGACAAACCAATGCAATGCAATCTTGCAAGATCCTTTTAGGAGGGGGAGGATTGTGACGGTCTGCTGCAGTCATTCGTATCCTCGCGGGGATGCGCTTGGCTGTTGCGTAACATTCCCCTCCCCTGGACCTTGGTTGGACCAGTGACCGCGGCTGCCCGCCATCTTGAGCTTTAGTCTTCGCTTGTCTCCCCGCGTCACTGGCCGTCGATCAAGGTTCCCTCCGTTTCCCTTCGGTTCTCTTACTTCTCGCTAGTCTTTTGCCTTATGTCGAGTTTTCTTTATTTTCGTGTATTTCGGACTGTGCCTTTTCACTGTTGTGTTGATCAATAAATCGTTGTTTGTATCCCGTACTCGCTCGTTTCGTCTCTTTTTGTTGCGTGTCCTCACCGACTGACCCTCTGAGGTGAGGCTTGCCCAGCGCACCTTATATCAGCCCAGTCAACCGTCTTCCCGTTTCAGTTCTTGTTTTCTTCGTGTGTCGATGGTGGCCGGCAAGCCACGAAGCCATACCAAACTTCGTTTTCTTCTCTTGTGAGCTCTTGGGGGTAGGCATTGTGCACGCGATGGCCTACCCCACGCGTTTCCCTTTTATAGCTTCTTTTGGTAAATCATGTTGTTGAGAGTCCCGTCACGCTTCAAAGTCATCATGAATACATCTGTGTTGTCACATGTACACATGTTCCTGCGATGTTGTCAATGCTTTGTGTAAACCCTTACACTAAGTCCATTCCTGTATAGTGATGAAAAACTGTTGTATAGTGATGAAAAACTGTTGTGATAATGAAGACGTTTACAATCCTGATGACCCTTTAGATCCTGATTATGTTTCAGATGAACTCGACTAACTAACGATCGACGGGAAATTCGTCGTTGAAGAGATGGTCTATTCCAAAACCTAGCAATTCAGACCCAGTCTCGGTAGATGTCACTCATCTCTCAGTAGATATTACCTGACCTAGATGTCACCTAATTTTTAGGTGATGTCACCATTTTTTGTGTATACAACTCCATAGGTTCATCGGAAGACGAACATTTTGGAATGGAGGCAAACGAAGGGGTACCGAGGATAGCTGCGCGGCGCAGCTGTAGAGGCAGCTTTCTAGGGCTAGCCCTCACTTTGTCGCCCCTCAGATCAAGCATGGCACCAGACCTGCTCGATACACGGAAAAAACGAGGTTGGTGTTGGGCACTAAGCACCGCTTAGAGGAGCAATGTTTAGTGCTCCGCTCCAGTTATGCAGCTCGCTGCGCTAAACTCGTCGTATGGCCGGGTCCTACCGCAAGTTAGTGACGGCAGGTTGCGTGGAGAGGCAGCAGAGCGCGTGCGCATCGCGTCGTTTTTCCCAGTCGGTTTGCGCACGCCGTCTCACGCGCCTAGGCTTCGCTTTGTGTCCCGATCTGAATCTGAGGAAATCTAACAGTTAACAGATCAAGATAAATAATAATTGCCTGCAAGGCAAGCAAAGTGTTCGTGCGATTGTGTTGATGTTGTGCTGTGTGTATGTGATGTATTATCTACACAATGGACTTGGTCAAAAGAATACTCGTTAAAGCAAATCTGGAGGACCAGCTTAAAGTTTTTGAAGGTAAGCCTATATTCCTTTACTAAAGCACCTAGTATTTTCAACCATCACGTGCCTGTAATGCACCTGTTGCATGAACCCAAAACGCTATCTATACTCACAGATATAGTTATATGGTTCACCTGGGTCTGAACCCTTCACTATTTTTCATTCTTAACTCTCGCAGCCAAGAACATTTGATGCACTACTTCTTCATTTATTTACATTATGCCAGCACATTATGCCGGAGATTGCAAGTCTGTGCACATTCTGAAATGGTTTCCAATCTATCAATTCCTAACTACCTATGCCTAGGAAGAGAAAATATTGCACTCCTTGGTCCATTTAATTGAGGACAGACACTGTGCAGCATTGTAAACCCCATCCGCAGGCTGACTCATTACGCATTTAAAACTAGTACCAATTGGACTGCATTTTGCAAGTTGGAACTATAAATTCTGGCCCGGTTTAAAAACAACGTATGTGCTATTAGTTTCCCTGTGCACATAAGTGTATTTTCAAATGAGCCAGAATTTATACTTCCAAATTGCAAAATGCAGTCCAATTGATAATTATCTACTAAACATTATTTCTCATGGTTTGAAAAATTTTCTGTCCAGTATAATCAAGTTCAAATAGCTGTTCAATCTCCCTATCATCAGGCTGTGGGTGTTGCCAAAATAGTGCTTGTTTTTCCCCCAAATATATCAGAAAGTAGTTGCCTTCACTTAATGAACTTTAATTGAGCAATTTTCTCTACATTTTTTTCTTAAGGTCTGGGTATGAACCGCCTAACGGTTGAAAGTTTTTCAGCCTCTAAATTCCTGCTAAGTGAGAATGACAACTGTGCAACCTTATTAAAATCTGATGGTCCTTATCGATGTTTTACGAGGGAAACCATGCATTGCATCTCAGTTGACGGACTTGCATTCCTCTCATCGTATTTATTTCTCCAATTAAGTAGCCAGTGTAACATCTTGAAAACTTCCATGATTTTCCCTCTCTATTAGAAAGATATTTTGCATTGATTTCAAGCAACAAAGTTGTCTCGTCTCCTGAAAATTACATGGGAGTGGAAATTTTAAAACACCATAATGTGGAGCTGCGGTTTTCAACTAAGGTTATTGATATTTCATTGTTGGTTTTAATTTGAACTCATCAATTGTTGAAAAGCCCTGTGCTAGATGGAGCTTAATTTTTACCAAGGACTGGTAACAAAGAGGAGGAGCTCTATCGTTCCTTCGGAAAACTCTGCTGACAATTTATCTAACCATAGTGCTTTAAGTAAGTGTTTCAACAATTGGAAATAATAAGAAAGGGCTGTAGTTTGGAAACATGACTATCCTTACCTATTTAACCAGATGGGCATTGAGTCTGAAATGAGTGGAAAGTCTCAAAACTAATCTGTTTATTTTCAAAGACTTAGACATTTTTTCTAGCACATATTATTTCTCAAGATGAGAACCAAGTGTGTGATTGTGCCTTTTAGATCCTCTTTCCCCCTGTGTTAAAGCGGTCAAATTAATCTCACTGTATTCTGTTTTCTCAGAGAATGAAATCGATGACAAGAATGTGAAAAACTTAACGCCTGATGTTTTGAAAGAAATATTCCCCAAAATTGGACACAGGATTAGATTCTCAGAAGCTCTGGTTGATGAAATGTCCAAGTCCCAGGTAAGTTGTCTGTGTATAAGCTACTTAGGTGAATTCTTCAGGCTGTAATTTCTTCTTGTTGTGTTGTATACAAGCTTCTTCTCAATGGTTCAAACTCCTTAGCAGTAAACAATCTGAATCTAAATTTTCACAATTTCTTGCTTAATACATCTAGCATTCTGAAAATTCAGACGATATACCTCTAAAAAGAACTTCATTTCATTCTAACATTTAAATAATTTTTAGTGCATTTTCAACCTTTTTTTACTTTTATCTTTGTCACTTAATTGCCTCAAAGATTTCCTGGAAACATGCAGATCCTAGCCGAATCTTTAGAGTCATGTGTTTGAGAATATTTGCCCCCTCCCCCCCCCCAAAAAAAAAAAAAATCGCATTTTGCCAAAAAGGAGACAAGTGGACTCCAATGTCCCTAAGCTTGTGCATCTTTTTTTAACTTGCAAATATAAACTGATCAGCTTAACAAGTAGTGTAAATTTAATTTTCTTCATGATTTCAGGAAGTAATTTTATTGCATAGAATGTAAGTTACACAATCTTAGCAACATTGGAATGCTCTTGGTTCCTTTTTGCAAAATACAACCCAATTATATCTAAACCTTCGGAAAATAGGGAGTACTTTAGAAAACATGTACATATTTTGAAATTTTGTTTCTTGAGCATTCACGAGCCATGATAAGACAGGCACTGTAACTAAGAAATCATAGTTTTGGCTACATCTCATCTACTAAATTGAATCATAAGATTGAATCATAAGTTCAGTGTGTGCCCTTGCTTTGTATTATGTAGAATTGCTTTTCAACTGAGTGCTACCTTGAACCCACATTCAAACATTTTCATAATCAGTGCATGATTTTGGGTGGTGGGGGCCCTCTCCTCTGAAGCACTGGCGTTGCTAGATCATGTTTAGGGGAGGCTGGCCCCCCTGTAAAATGATGCCCAACCGGGCAAGAGGGTCCAGCAACTGGGAAGAGGGTGGTATGGAGTACTTGTTGCATATAGAGGAAGCACTGGTGGCCTCTTTCAAAACAATTGGGAAAATTGACTCAATTTTAAATACACTGTAAGGCCTTTGCAACGCAAGTTTTCATTGAAAATTATGTGGATCTTGTTCAGTTTTGCACTGGATTTCAGCGAGGTTTTTCCATGGGGCTGGAAAATAAATGAAAGAAAAATTATTATTTTCCCTTATTTAACCCTTTTGCAGTTCTTACCATGGTAAAAATAAATAGTGTGGGGGCACTAAAGCGATCACCCTGCTCCCCCCTCCCCACCCAGAAAAAAATCTTGCACTGTTTATGATTAGTTCCTGTCTTTAAAACTTTTCTCCTTGCACCTTTGGTATGGCTTGGTACTCCATTTTACTATCTCTTTTTGCTTTGCTTTCCTTCCCTTTTAGATTATCACAGTGCCCTTAACCCCAACAATCTCTAAGCCTGTAGAAAGTCCAGCAAGAGAAAGGAGTAGTCAGAAGGAAAAGAGCCCGAACAAGAGACAGAGCCCTGAGAAGGGAAAGAGCCCTGAGGAGGGAAAGAGCCCTGAGAAGGGAAAGAGCCCTGAGAAGGGAAAGAGCCCTGAGAAGGGAAAGAGCCTACAGAAGGGAAAGAGTCTTCAGAAGGGAAAGAGCCCTCAAAAGGAACAGAGCTCTCAAAAGGAACAGAGCTCACACAAGAGACAGGCCCCTTCGATTTCCGGGGGAGGAGAGTGTAAAAAATCAAAGTTTGATAAATCCGACCAGGAGACTGTGGAGCAACCTATTTCCACTGATAAAGAAAAGGAAGAAATGAACAAGTATTTAGAGAGTATTTTCGAGAAGTCATTAAACGGCCGAGCTGTTATGAAAGCTGTGCAAAATAAAAAATTCGATGCAACTATTAGAAAAATGTTATTGGACTGCATTATTACGCATGAATTGGAAGAATCCAGTGACATGAAGATCTCAACAAACACTTTTAAATATTTAGCTAACTGCATATCAAATTATGTAAAAATTGAAGCACCTACTGTATACTACATTCCAGCTCGCCGAGACGGCTCCATTAGAGTAAGCGCCAAAGGAATGCTTGTCCAAAATTATCATAACAGGCTGCGCGTCTATTCGGATTGCGGATTTCGAACTAAAAGAGAGAAGCTCATGTCTATTGATATGCCTAGTAGTAGTTCTTCAGAGGGTAAGTTTAGGATTCTTCCTTAAGAGCATTCCAGTGAAAATTGCCTTTTTTCCAATTTATTCATAATAATTTCCAATCTGTACTCACAGAACTTGCATGCACTTATCCTGTGGAAAAGTTCCAAATACTAAGTAACCGACTTATTTTCAATTTGTATTTCTTCTGAAGTAGTAGCATCTCTCGTTTCTCTGCGTGGGATTAAATGGATGAAAGATACTAAATGCAGGTCCAGGTTAGAAGGGGAGGGGCTTTTAGCTGAAATATTAATTAAAATTGTATAACATTTATTAGCTCCAGATTGCAACGTCACAGGCTACTCAGCATATTTTGCTTTCTTTGAGGAAAATCATTCAATTTTTTTTTTTTTGTAAAAAATGTCATCTGCTTATTTTTCGCCTCCTAAAAGTATTCTGTTTATGTTTCAAATCGTATCAGTTTGCTTTCTTCCAAAGAAATAAAAGAATAGAAATTTTGAAACTTTGCACCTTAGCCGTATGGTTTTGAACTTTCATTGGCTGCTTGCTCTTAATTTTACTTTAGGCAGTACTTATGATGCAAAATTTAGAGGCTTGTTATTTTTCTCATGACTACAAGATATTTGAGACCTGTATTAATTTTGAGCATAATCCATCCAGAGTTCCTTATTCAGCTCTCAGTAGATTTTGTCTCTTATAATTTAAAGTGATTCGATGGACGCCACATTTCGTGTCAGAACAACATGTGATACATTGCTTCAATTGGTTCCATTTTTCCGGTTACTCATCATCTTTCTCGAATTTTGACATCGCAATTCTGGTATCAGCAGACTAAAACGACAAACTAAGACAATTTTAATCTTTCCCAGCTATCACAACGTTCTTGGTAAAGCTCTGCTTCACCAAAAAGTTTGTAATGCATGAAAGAAATTAAAATTGTTGATAAAACGATGTATGGCCATAAAATAATTTACTCGCAACCAGCTTAATGTCATGATCATGCTTCTAATAAAAAATTCCGATGTAATCAAATTTTTAACAGAATGGGAAGAGGGGATGCATGTATTGTCTCTGCGGCTAAATTTACATTCTGATTGAAGATCAGTACATTAATTAAGAATGACCACGTTGAGTCTACGGAGGTCAAGGCAAGGCTTTTATTTGACAAAGTTTTCCTCCTATGTTTCAGAAATTGCACCTCCTGTAACCTTTGATGAAGATAATGAATGGCTACAGAAGTGTACAGAACCATTCGATATTCTTTCACTAAAATGGAAGGCAACTTCTAAAATACGTATCGCTAGGTATCACAGTAGCGATCAAAGAGCGGATCTATATATGAAACAGTATCCTGCACTCCTCAAAGATTTTGGGCACCGCTTGGTGAGTTTTTGCTTGAAAATTCAATATAGAGGTATACAGGGCGTCCAGAAGTTAACGTACTTAACTTTCAAGATAGATTTTTCGGCTCAAAATATGACTTTTTCCCATTCTTATATGCTCGAAAACGCTTCCTAAGTGAGCTATGCGCTTCAAAAGTTGCCATTTTTTCCTTTCAAATTGATGTAACTCCTCCTTAATTTGTTGTAAGTAGCTAAAACTTCGTGCAGGGCGTTATTTTTTTAGCTTACTGTTCATTTTACATGTTTTCAAGAACGTATACGTCTCCGGGAAATGACGTTATGAGGGTTCCCAAATTTCAGAATTGCATCAACTATTTTGGCAAATATATTTGGCAAAACGAATTATGGCACGTAAAAGAGCACGAAATATCTTGGGTATCAGATACTGCTCAAAATTTTCCAAAGACGCTTCATCACGCAACAGAGCTTTGAAAAAGTTTCAGATTCTCGAAGTTCCTTGCTGGATAGGCAATTTTTACTGCAGGGACTGTAAGAAAAATTGCCCACAGAGGAAGGGGCTTTGAAAATCCGAGGAGCCGTCGCGACAGCTTTGGGATTTACTTATGTTCTCATTTTTTTTGTCGTTGATAAGTATTGCACAAAATTTCGTGATATTTGTTGAGCTTTGGTGAACAATCTGTCCAGGTTACATGCAACCAAATCTAGTAATATTCGGACAAAATGTCACTTTTAAACCCCACAATCAGGATGTGTGTTTTTCTAGTTTCTTTACAGTTTTGCAGTGTTAATTTTTTTCCATTTCTTTCATACATTCAGATCAACATTGACTATCAGGAACTGCACCCGGGGTCGGATGATGAATTCTACAAAAACTGGCCAGAGTTTGCTGATAGAGTTTTGGCTCTTGTAACCAAAAAATGTACTGAAAGTACAACATTTAAGGAGCTGGTGCTTGCGGACACTCCGTCCTTCTTTGCGATTGCAGATTTTAAAGAAGTGGGTGAGTGGAAATTTACATTGCTTATCTGTAGCGGAGATGAATAATTTCTAAATAGTCAACTTGTCTCATGTGATGAGGATTTATCATTGACAAATATTTTTTAATTCCTTATCTTTATTTAATTTTAGATCATCCCCCCTATTTTCCTTTAATCACTATTTTCTCTTGTCTTACACAAAACTATAAGGCGCTCTCTGTAGTGAGTACTTTATACATATTCGCAACGTTTTATTTGAACGGCTATTGATGAATCAAACGACAATGAAAGTTTAATTTCTAAGTATTTGCTTCTTTAAAAAAAAAAAATTCTCCTCCAAAAATGTAGTGCTTATACCATGCTTTACTTGACATCCTTACTTTCATTTGAGGAACAATCCCTTGTGAAAATGAAAGAAAGCAATCATGGAAACTTTAAAAAAAAATATATACATACATATAAAATGGCAGGTTCTGCACTGTTTACGTTTAAACTGTTGTACTGTTTTATAAATTTGCCCATTTTTTTCCTTATTTACGGTTGCTTATTTTTACTGTGGCGAAAATTTTTTTGGTGTTCAGTATGATATGTTGTCAAGTAATCTGTCACATTATTCATTCAGTACGGTACATACAGGGTGTGCCAAAAGTAACTGAAAAGTGTCTAGTGTCTAACTGAAAAGTTCAATTTGTACCAATTTTCAAAAATTGACAAGTCCTGTTAGAAAAGTCGCAAAGAGGCCGTCCACTTCAGTTACTTTTGGCCCACCCTGTATATTCGATGTAACAATTAAGGAATTCAAAAAGAAAGTTTCACTGTGATGTGAATTACTGCCATTTTTAAAGGAAAAATCATGCTGCAGGCATTGCCACCAAGTTATGAGCAAAGCGGGGTTCTTTCCATTGTTATGAATGTATTTATTTATACCAAAAATACATTCTATCCTATTCTATTCTTTTTGTCAACAGATGAACAAGAAAGGAACTATCTTTGCATCTCTTTACTGCCATTCCTCTTAAGGCCCCCCCATATCAACAGAAAGGTAAAATTCTCCAAACGTGAAGTTAAAGATAGTTTTTTCATGAGATGTTCGTCCCAATCAGACTTTCGGTCAGAACTTAAGAAAAAAAACGAAGATCATTTAAAGGCGAAAGTTCCTATCCAGCCATTGCCCATATTCGTTGGGACCGATGTGAAAGCCCTTGATTGCTATGTCGAGGTCAACAGTACTCTGTACAGTACGACATCTTTGTTGCAAGCTGTCACTGTATGCTTCAAATGTTTCTTTGTCCTTAATCTAAGTTATCCGAAGGCAGCTGAGAAACTTTGGACTTTTATCCAGAACGAGCTCTTCCATATTGGGCCCTACGTCGCTGCAGCTCCAGACGTGGAGCTTCTAAAGTCTTCTTTGGCATCTGTGCCTTTACCCGAATAGACTGTTCCCAATTTTTACGTACTGTTTATTAATACTTTATTATTAATACTTTTGTTGTCTCTGATCAATCCAAAATGCCAGTTTGCTTCTTATGTTTAGATAATTTTTCTACTTTCTCACATTTAAATTTGCATTTTAAGTATGCACACAATTTGGGGGCCGGTAGCGGTATTCAATGCCGAGAAGGTAATTGCACACGCAAGTGCACCAATATAAAAGCTTATGGGGCTCACTTGCGTATGTATCATAATGAGAACAAAAATGTGCCTGCTGCTGCATATGATGAAAATTTTGAAGAAAATGAGCAGGATGAAGATCCTGCCCATGATGACATTTTAGAAAACGAAAATCCTCCTCTTAATCTTGATGAAACCTTTGAATTAATTGAAAACCTGAATATTCAAAATTTTTTACTAAAACAGTGTGCATTATTTACATCAAAATTGAATGCGCATCCGTCAATTCCCCGTAATCTATGCCAAACTATTGTAGATTTCACAACAGATTTAATGACTTCGTGCACCTCAATCATGCATACAAAAGTAATGCATGCAATTAATGGAGTTGATGGGGTAAACGCAGACGATTTACATGAAATTGAGGCATGTTTCCAGACCCTCAAAGAACCATTTAAGCATGTCTCAAGTGATCATCTAAGGAGAAAGTTCTTCAAAGAGAGAGGGTCTTATATTTCACCAAAAGATTTCTCTTTCGGTGAAAAAGTGATCATGAAAACAATTAAAAAAAAAAAAAAAATAATGACAGTTGATAAAGTGGGTCAGCATGTTCCTCTAACACAATCGCTAAAATTATTCTTTGAGTACAATAACTTGTTGAATGAAACGTTTGAGTTTATGGAAATTCTGGAAGAGGAAAATTGTTTAATTAGCAACGTAATTCAAGGCAGCGAGTGGCGAGAAACCATTGAAGATATCAGGAAAAACCACCCTGGGAGAAAAATTTTACCTCTAGTTTTGTTTTGTGATGATTATGAGGCCGGCAACCCTCTGGGTTCCCACGCTGGAATTAATAAGTTGTCTGGGGTTTACGCCACCGTCCCCTGTTTGCCACCCAAAGTTCAGTCATCTTTGAACTCAATTTTACTTTGCCTTTTGTTTAAATCATCTGACAGAAAGGACGTTTCGAACGAGGCATTATTTAGAGTTATAGTGGAAGAACTGAAATTTCTTTCAGAAACTGGAATCGAAATTCAAACACCAGCATCCTCTGTAAATGTCCACTTTGTTCTTTGCCACTTAGCTGGCGATCATCTTGGCTTGCACCAAATGTGCGATTTTGTCCAAAATTTCTCTACTGCCAAGCATATGTGTAGAATCTGTAGAGTAGAAATTGATCAGATGCATACTCAAGTTACTGAAAATGAGGCAAATCTGAGAACACCTGAAAATTATGCTGCTGATGTCTCTCTTAATAATGTGACTGAGACAGGTGTTACAGCCAATAGTCTGTGGAATGAGGTACCACATTTCTCAGTGGTTCGTCATTTAGCTTCTGACATCTTACATGACCAATATGAAGGCTGTGCTGGATACTTATTAGTTTTTCTGTTCAATTATTTAATCGATTCTGGACTTATTACCTATCAAGTTTTATGTGTTAAAATCGAAGATTTTGATTATGGGCTAATAGACCAAAGGAGTAAACCACCAAACTTTTCCAAAAACTTTAACAGAAATTCGATTAAGATGTCAGGAGCTGAAATGAAAACCTTAGTAAAATACCTACCTTTAATTTTAGGTAATAGAGTCCCAGAAGATGACGAAGTTTGGAATCTTTTTCTAAAGTACAGGAATATCATTGACCTTCTTATGGCACCTTCCCTTCAAGTAGGTTCTAGTGATCTTTTGAATGCTCTAGTTGCAGAATACCTCAGCTTATACCAAAGTTTAACTAATACCCACTTAGTTTATAAACACCATATGATGATTCACTACGGTCGATTTATTAAAAAACTTGCGCCGTTGAGAAAACTTTGGTGTATTCGTTTTGAGGCGAAACATCGACAGTTCAAGGTCCCTGCAAGCTCAAATTTCTGCCAAAAAAATACTCCAAAAACCCTGGCTATTAAACACCAACTGCAGTTTAGTGATGCTATTTTTTCAAATTGTTTATTTAGACCTGACCTAGATTATGGACCAACTACTCCTGTGAGGTTGTTAAATTTTCAAAATTTCCACGTTCAAGCCCAGTTTACCTCTTTTAATTTCCCTCCTAAATTTTTACAGTTGTCATGGCTCCGTGTTGGTGGTTTCATTTACAAGCCTACATTAATTTTATTCCATGATGAGGTCGATGATATTCCTTGTTTCTCGGAAATCTTGAAAATCTGGTTACTACCGAATGATGTAGTTTTTTTTCTGTGTGCTCTCTTGGAGAATGTAGGGTTCCGGAGTCATTACCATGCTTTTCATGTCAAGCAGACAAAAGTGTATACTATCTTGCCTCATAATACGTTACAGTGTCAGGAACCAACAATTTTGTCTCGAATACCAAATGGAGAACTTTATGTGATGAAACCGTACATGTAAATGCATCTAGTGAAACAGGAAGTCCTCAATATAAAATTCTAAGTCAGCGAGGTGAGGGACCCGAACTGTGAGATACAGGGTGGAAGAATAGTTGGATTGCAATTTGCAAAAAGGAACCACTAGCATTGCAATGATGCTAAGATTGTGCAACTTCATCTTTTGCATTAAAATTGCGGAAATCGTGAAAAACTATGAAATTTAGATGGTAATTTTTGTCTTAAATTTACAGTTTTTAGCAAGTAAAATAGAAACTATTTATGGATAATCGGGTTTTTCCTCCAAGACAAAAGAAGTTGCACAATCTCAGCAACATTGCAATGCTAGTGGTTCCTTTTTGCAAAATGCAATCCAGTTCTGGGTCCACACTGTTCTGCGGATAAAGCAAGACCGAAAAGTTTTCATAACATTAAAAAATTAGAAATCTAATAAGTATCAGTTCCAAACTGGATTGCATTTTGCACAAAGGAGCCAAGAGCATTCCAGTGATGCTCAGATTGGGCAACTAAATTCTTTGCCAAAAAAATTACAGAAATCATGAAGGGAATTAAATTTACGAAAGTAATTTTCGTCATAGTTTAATGAGAGTATAGATAAAATTTGTTTAGATGATCAGTTTCTATTTGCAAGGTAAAAAAAATATGCACAATCTTAGCAACATTGGAATGCTTTTGGTTCCTTTATGCAAAATGCAATCCAACTGAGGGGGAAGAAGGTTCAGCTCAGACACTCTTCCCCTCAATTCTGCACCGTTACTCATCAGATTTCAAATTTTTTAATGTAATGAAAAATGTTCTGAATTTTTTGGCCTTGTTTTCCTCGCAGAATAGTGTGGACCCGGCACTATTTTGTCACCCCTGTAATTTACAGTGAAGAGTTACACGGTTTACTCAATTTTTACCTGGAAAGTGTTCAGGTATTTGTTTTTCAGGTGTTTTTTGAACTTTTCGTATGTAGCAATGAATCATGTCTTTCTCTACACCTTTAGATACATTTTCCTCTGTAACTTTCTGTTGAATAGTAAATTTATCCACTAATAGAGTGCAGCACTGACTGATGCACGCCTTCTCCTCTCCCCTTCTGGGAGAAAAGAAAACTAGCCTCTCATACTCAAGTATGGCGTCCGATGTATGTAACTAAGTCTCGTGTTCGTGTACGTTGAATAATAAAGTTTTGGTAATTAAATGAAACCATGTGTAGTGATAAAGCAGAAGAGTGGAGATCAGCAATGCAAAAAGAACTTGCTTGTATTGAGAAAAATAAAACTTGGAAACTAGTTCCACCCACAGATCAAAAACCAATGGATGTAAAATGGGTATTTGCTAAAAAGGGTGATTTGTTTAAAGCTTGCTTAGTTGCAAAAGGGTATCAACAAAAAGAATTTTCCGTTGAAAATATGTATTCACCTGTGGCTAGAGCCGAAACGTTGAAAATTTTGCTTGCTTATTGTCATTATAATAATTTGTATATTCATGAAATGGATGTTGAGACTGCTTTCCCAAATGGAAAAATTAAATCAGAGGTTTATGTCAAACAGCCACCTGGTTTTAAAGATGGCAACAACAAAGTATTTAAACTAGAAAAGTCTATATGGGTTAAATGAAAGTCCTAGATCTTGGTACGATACCCTTTATGACTATATACTTGAAGTAGGCTTTGTAAGAAGTAATCATGATAGTTGTCTATTTTTTAAAGTTACTGATGACCACAAGGTTGTGTATATTTTAATTTTTGTTGATGATTTGTGAATTATGACCACAAGGTTGTGTATATTTTAATTTTTGTTGATGATTTACACGGTTTACTCAATTTTTACCTGGAAAGTGTTCAGGTATTTGTTTTTCAGGTGTTTTTTGAACTTTTCGTATGTAGCAATGAATCATGTCTTTTTCTGTACCTTTAGATACATTTTCCTCTGTAACTTTATGTTGAATAGTAAATTTATCCACTAATAGAGTGCAGCACTGACTGATGCATGCCTTCCCTTCTCCCCTTCTGGGAGAAAAGAAAACTAGCCTCTCACACTCAAGTATGGGGTCCGATGTATGTAACTAAGTCCCGTGTACGTTGAATAATAAAGTTTTGGTAATTAAATGAAACCTTGTGTAGTCAATATAATAAAAGCATCACTTTAAGTACTATTATCTTCCTTTTTTTACTAAGATTATCCTCAAAATCAGGGCAATATGTATGAGAAGGACTTCAATGAAGATGCATTACCTATTTCATAAAATTGCAAGAAATGATATTGCAAAAATTTAGCTAAATCTTACACTTTTATTATAGAAACAGAAAACCTTCATTCTAACTGATGACTAAAAGCCTGGCTCAAACTGAGCAGCCGTGCCAATTTTTGTTTTTTTCAGAGTAACTTAATTGATTCCAATGGTTTTCATGTTTGATACTGGAAAATTCATAACAAATTCCATCACATAAAATTTGTAACTGTGCAGAGTCAATTTTT